ATATATTCACACTCAGAGTGAGTTTGGTGAATATTGAGAGTTAAACAGAGTTAAGTCATCTATTTTTTTATAGTCAACGATAATGAAAGTATTTCTGTAGTTTTTTTCTTAACCATTATTCTGAATAATATTTTTATATTCAGAGTTTTTCAGTTTGGAGGCTCATTAGTGAAGCAGTTGGACTCAGAAGGGTAAGTTCTCTTGATTTAGTCGAAAGTCGGGAATAAGCTGGTCCTCCCCACCCCACCCCCACCCCCGTTAGCACTCAAATGTAAGCTAATTGGTTATTTGGACTTAGTTAACAATCAGTGTTAATTTTGTTTGGGTAGAACATTTTTCTAAGTGATACAGCCCTTGTCTTTCAGTTTATGGTACTGAGATAACTTGGCGTTGCTGTGATACTGAACACTGTGCCACTGGTGTGTCCAGTGCCATAAGGATTACCTATGGTGGATAGGGTTTGGTAGAACTCCCAGATTAAGATATATTTGGAAGAACTGGCATCTAGTTCTTATATAACAGGCCTTTGGAAACTCTATGAACGTTAGAGAAATGACGATAGTTGAACAGGGTTCAGATCCTTCATTCATAGCTTCACTATGAGTTGTACTTGACTCTACCACACTTAACAACTAATAACAATTCAGAATTTCAAAATATTAGAGCTATGAATTGGTTAATATTTGTTGCTAATGAGGCTAAAGAAGAGAGAAAGGTAATTATAGACATGTAATCAGTATGTAGTCCTCTGCTGATGTGCTGCCCCAGTCATTTTCTGAATAATCTTCAGCAGAATCTTGCTTTCATGTGCTATTAATGATATTGTTCTATAATTTCCACAGTCTGTTGGATCACCTTTCTTTGGAATGGGAGCAAATATAGATCTCTCCAGTCAGTTGGCCAAGTGGTTGTCCTCCAGATTTCTTGGCACAATTTGGTGAGCACATCCAGGGCAGCATCTGTTAGCTGAAATATGTCAATTGGTATATCATCAATCCCCAAGGCTTTATTTTTAGCCAATTCTTTCAAAACAGTTTCAACTTGTTCCTTCATCACCATAGGCTCTTGCTTCATCTTCTTTTGATACTTCCTGGATCATTTAATATTCTGCCTAAAATATCCCTAAGTATTGCAACTCGAGGCCTGAATTTCCTCTTCAGTTCCTTGAGCTTAAGAAGTGCTGAGCAAGTTCAGCTCCTTTGATTTTCTGACTCCAGCTCTTTGCACATTTCATTATAATACTTTGTCTTGCTGTGCTGCCTTTTGAAATCTTCTATTCAGCTTCTTAATGTCTTGAATCTTGATTTCTTCCCTCTGCTTTGACTTATAGATGGTCTAGTGCAATATTCAGTCTCTTCAGACAGCCATTTTGGTCTTTCCTTCCTCTTCTGTTTTTGTAATGACCTTTTGTACTCTTCCTGGATGATATTCTTGATATCCACCCATACTCAACTGATCCTCACTCATTAGTGTTCAAGGCCTCAAACCTGTTCCTGAGATGGTTCTGAAATTCTTGTGGGATAGACTCAAGGTCATATTTTTGTCCCCATGGACTTGCTTTCACTTTCCTTAACTACAACTTGAACTTGCATATGAGTAGTTTGTGGTCTGTTCCACAATCAACACCCAGCCTAGTTTTCACAGTTGATATTGAACTTTTCCAGCGGTTCTTTTCACAGATACAATCTATGTGATTCCTAGGCATACCATCAGGTTAAATCATGTGTATAACCTGCATTTATGTTTTTTATAAAATGTATTTTCAATGAGTAAATCATGGATTGTGCAAAATTCTATCATCCCATTTCCAGCTTCGTTTCTGTCACCATCCATGCTTTCCAACTACTGATATTTCTTCTCTGTTCCCAATTTTTACCTTCTAGTCACTCATTCTTATTAATGCACTTTGATTGCATGTTCAATTGCTCTCTGACTACAAAATTTGGTAGAAATCTTTTATTTCCTCTTCTTTGGCTCTGATTGTTGGTGCATGTATTTGAATGATAGTGGTATTCACTGGACTTCCTTGTATGCATATGCATATTATCCTGTTACTCACAATGTTGTATTTTGAGATACATCAAGAAATGACTTTTTTAACTTTATAAAAAAAATAAAAACCCTATGAAAAAGCCTGGGTTTAGAAACGGTTGTGATACCAGGGATATTGTAGCTAATGATAGATGAATCATGGCTGAAAGCAGGGAGTACCAGAGGAATGTCTATCTGTTTCATTGATTATGAAAAGGCATTTCACTGTGTGGACCACAACAAACTGTGGCTAACTCTGAGAAGAATGGGAATCCCAGAACACTTGATTGTGCTAATGCGAAACCTATACTTGGACCAGAAGGCAGTCTTCAGAACAGAGCAAAGAAACACTGCGTGGTTCGAAGCTGGGAAGAGCATATGTCAAGGATGTATCCTATCTCCATATCTTTTCAATCGTTATGCAGAACAGATTATTTGGGAGGCTGGGCTGTATAAGGAAAAATGTGGCATCAGGATTGGAGGAAGACTCATCAAAAATCTGCATTATGCAGATGACACAACACTGCTTGCTGAAACTGAGGAGGACCTGAAGCACTTTCTGTGGAAGGTCAGGGACTGCAGGAATTGAGGCTCATTATCAAGAAAACAAAGATTCTCACCACTGGGCTGATTGGAGGCATCATGACAAAAGGCGAAGAGATTGAGATCGTTCACAGCTTTAGTTTGCTTGGCTCCACAATCAACACTCTTGGGACCGCCCGGCATCCAGGAAATTAAAAGAAACCTTGAGATGAGAAAGCCTGCAGTTAGAGACTTCTCTAAAGTACTGATGAGCAACAATGTCAGTCTGGAGACTAAGGTGTGCCTGATACATGCAATGGTCTTTACAATCACTTGCTATGCGTCAGGGAGTTAGACAATGACTAGGGATGATAGAAGGAGAATTGATGCCTTTGAGTTGTGGTGTTGGAGGAGAGTATTGAATATACCGTGGACTGCTATGAGAACAAACAAGTTTGTCTTGGATAGGGTGAAGCCAGGCTGCTTCTTGGAAGTAAGGATTCTGAAGCTTCGTCTGACATACTTTGCAAATATTGCTAGGAGGGACCAGTTCTTGGAGAGGGACATCATGCTTGGGAGGATGGAGCCACAGCACAGGACGAGAAAATCCTCGATGAGACAGATTGATTCAGTCACTTGGGTAATGAAGGTAAGTGTGTCAGAGACAATGAGATTGGCACTGGATAGGGCAGGCTGTTGTACATAAGGTCATTATGAGTACACATAACAACACTCAATATACAATATCTAAACCTGGGCTATTCTGGAGAAATTAAAACATTATCACTAAAAGGAGTATAACAATTTCCTTGCAGAAATTAATTAAATATTGGGGTAATAAATGACAAAGAGGAGATAGAGGTGATGGAATATGAAGGATAGGAGATACAGGATGCTGAACTAAGAAATGGTGTTTTGCTTTGGGGGCATTGAATCTTTCAGTGGTGAAGAGTGAAACCATAATCTCACTTTCTAGCCTGTGATATTGAAACTATTAGTTTTAAAACAGCATTTTTTTGATATAAGACAGGTTTACACACACATATACACAAACCAAAAAAAAAAAACTTAAATAAAAACAGCTTCCTTAAATACATGGACAAAATAGGTGCATGTGGGACTATGGGGAATAGCTTGAATCAAGGACTGGTAATATAAACAGAATTCTTAGTAACAGAAGCAAATAGATATCTGAGCAAAATTGGAACACCTTGTCACTCTCTTGTTTCTCTTTCTGGTAACAAACACAACTATGCCTCCTCAAATACTTACTTCAAACAGGAATAGTAAACTCAATGTTTATTTAATCCACACTGAAATAAATGGCTCTAAATGTACGTTTTGCTCAGTAATTGTGACTGTAATTCACTATCCTTGTTTGTATTTCCCATGCCAGTGAAAAGTCCCTGTTTCCATCTTCCAGATCAACAACAATAATATATTGTTTCACAAGTGGAATTGTTCATTTATATTGACTCAGGTTTCAATATTATATTTCTTGCTGAGGAGTCAAAGCAAAGGCTATATAAACAAATAAATCAATGGATATTTGAAAGAGTTTTTATCAAGGATCTTTAATACAAGACAAAGGAAAAGAAGAATATTTGGAATAGTGGCAGATTACTTGTTCATCTTATCCTTGAAATAATTTTGTATAGTCCCAAGCATAGTACTGGCACTGGCACTGTCCAAACATCGATAAACTGTTTAATATGGTAAAGTGTCTCCCACAGTCAAGATCTCAATTTTATCATTTATTTACTAAAAGAATGGTGTAAGAAATTCATAAGAGCCTTAGCAGCTTACTATTTTTAAAATATAAAATACATACTTGCTCAAAAATATGTTTTTAGTAGCAATTTCTGAGAGGAATGTGATTAGAGATAAGTAGGAGAGTGAGTGCCTGAAATCAAACTCAAATGACAGTGCCAGCCTGCCAATGGCAGTCATAGCTGTGATCATTCTGGGCTCTTTCTGCAGAGTCACTCTGGCCTGGGCCAATCTGCTTGCAGAACCACCATGGGCAGGACCCAGGGCTGGGCATAAAAGGAGAGCTGGGCCAGCAGAGGCTTACACTTGCTTCTGACACAAGTGTGCTCACTAGCAAACTCAAACAGTCAAGATGGTGCATCTTAGCGATGCCGAGAAGGCTCTTGTCAATGGCATTTGGTCCAAGGTGGACGTAGATAAACTCGGTGGTCAGGCTCTGGGCTGGTGAGTATTTTGATGAAGGCAGATTTAAGGAGGCTTGAGTGGGACTGGCATATGGAGACAGAGCAGTTTTCCAGGCTTCTCACAGGTACTGACTCTTTCTGGCCCCTGTGTTTCTTTTACCCATCAGTCTGCTGATTGTATACCCATGGACTCAGAGGTTCTTTGACTCCTTTGGGGACCTGTCCTCTGCTGATGCTATCATAAAAAATCCCAAGGTGGCAGCCCATGGCAAGAAAGTAGTGAACTCCTTCAGTGAGGGCATGAAGCATCTGGACGACCTCAAGGGCACCTTTGCCCAGCTGAGTGAGCTGCACTGTGACAAGCTCCATGTGGATCCTGAGAACTTCAGGGTGAGTCTATGGGAATAAAGGTTTCCCTTCTGCTCTTTATTTTTGGCAAATCCTAGCATGGGGAGGGGGTTCCAGGTCAGAATTGAAACAAAGTGTTCTGACTACATACTATGAACTCTCCAGGGCCTTTTTAGGAAGTAAAATCTCTTCCTTCTGCAAATCTTTATTGCCCCTATCTCATGGTTCGGTGTTCCTTTGTCTCTTCTAAATACTTCCTCATCTACTTACTTATTATCACTTCAAAAAAATTCTTCAAAAAATTTAAACTTTCTTCTTTACATCCACTAGGGGTTTCCCCTTCTATTCTTAGCTTTCCAGAATCCATATCTTTCAAGCAAGGGGGATAAAATGGTTCTTTTTGACATTACATAAGTTTTTAAAAATTCACTAATAAAATCTAAGACGGATGGAGGAAAATATTCACGTGCATAAATTCAGGCTGATATGACAGCATTAAGGTCCGTAGTAGAACTAAGTGTCAACCATCACATCACTCACAATGCACATGAGTAAAGTGTATGTGCAGCTTGTGATGAGGCTGACCTTCTGTCCAATCTCGATCACTCTGCCAGCCAAATTAATGTGTCTTATCTTTCTCCTCAGCTCCTGGGCAACGTGATAGTGCGTGTGATAGCTCGCCACCTCGGATCCGAATTCACCCCACAAGCACAGGCTGCTTTCCAGAAGGTGGTGACTGGTGTGGCCAACGCCTTGGCTCACAAGTACCACTAAGATCCTGCCCTTTTCCTTGGGATCCATGGGAAGCCTTTGTTTCCCTAGGTCTGACCCCTGAATTGGGGGAAAGAACCAAGGGTATAACATTTGCTTAATAAAGAACTTTCAGCTCAACGCTTTGATTAATTTCATTTTTGTCTCTCATTCATCCTACTCTATAGGAAAGAACCTAAAAGACAATGAATAGGGAGCTCTATTGATGAGAACTGTTATTTCCTATAGGAAATATTTCCAGACAATTGGAAAATAATTTTTTTATACACAGGTACTAATGCAAACAGTTTTTCTTTGGGCATAGAGTTTGGGAAGGTTTGGAAAACAATGATGATACTGAGATGATTCCACAGACCTCAAACATAAGTCTTAGCCCCAAGGCTAACTTTCCAACTAATTTCAATAATTATCTAAAAAATATTTGACTAATTTAAAAGTCTAAGCTATCCACACTCTATTCTCCTCCCCCATCTCCCTGTCCTTGTACAGTTTAGCATGCAATCTATTTCCCACGCAACTGTTTCTACTTTAGAAAACCATGCTTTTCCTCTTCTATAATCTATAACACCTCCAAAATAATTATTGTGTATTGATTTGGCCTCATTTGAGGGGTATTCGATACTTACATAATACTTTTGACTTTTATTTACCCCAGTTACTATGAACTTTCAAATACTGTTTCAAAATTTCTTCCCCACCACTTTTAGCATCTTTTGTCTTTGTTGTTGATAAAGGGTTTTTTTTAAAAATAATAAATGGTTTATTGCCTTATATATATTATGAAGACTGTGTTTGCATATGAATGAAATTGTGAAAGAAAAGTCGTGTTGTGAGTTAAGGATGACAGACTCAGAATTGTGAATGTGGCAGCTGAAGCGTTTGGAATCCTTTCTTCACTCACCTGAATTTGGATCCCAATGTTTGAGTATAAATAATCATCATTTATCCATTTATTTTCTTTATTTTTACCTTGTAAATTAGGGATCTTATTTGTAATTAGAATGTGCATCCTTGTCTCTGCAGAGTTATGGTAACAGAAGGCCTGCTTCACTTCTTAGTGATGCAAACTGTACTATAACAGTCCCTGTTACAAATGCAGCTACGTCGATTTCCAGCATAGAATAAAAAGTGTCTCCTAAAGTCATTCAAGTTCATTGTAAATACCTTTTTCAAAAAACACAGATGGGACTACACACTTGGGTCTCACCCAGTGGAATACACAGAACCAGACTGTCTACATCTATGGGGAAAATTGTTGGAGAAGTTAAATGTCTGCAGTCAAGATTAAGCCAGGTGCTAACTGTGGAACAGACTACCAGTTACTCCTGTGCGAATTTAAATTGAAGCTGAAGAAAATCAAGTCTTAAAGAGCCAAAATATGACCTAGAGTCAATCCCATCTGAATTAAGAAACCATCTCAAGAATAGATTTGAAGCTTTGAACATTAATGATAAAATACCAAAAGAATTGTGAGAGAACATCAAGAAAATCATTCATGAAGAAAGCAAAATGTTGTTCAAAAGAACAAACGTGTCTATCTTGGAGAAGGCACAGCCAGGGTGCTCCTTGGCAGGGTGGTTAGGTTAGAGAGAGGATGATTAAACTGTATCTCACAAACTTTATGTGTGGTATTAGAAGTTACTCCTTGGGAAAAAACACATCATACTTGGAAGAGGGCAAGGTCAGCAAAAGAGAGGAAGACATTCAATGAGATGAACTGACATGGTGGCTGAAGCAATGGGCTTGTGTATATAAAGGATGATAAGGATGGTATAGAACAGAGCATCGTTCATTCAGCTTTACTGATCATAGGTTGCTATGAGTCATAGTTGATTTGCCGCCACTTAAGAACAACAATCACTCATACAGACTTCCTACTGAAATTATTGCTCATGAATAATTTTTTTAGGTACTGTAACTTTCATACTCTTTTGTCATTTCTTTATCCTTCAATAATTTCTGAGAAGTTGTTTTATTATTGTAGCTAAGAACTTCATTGTATTCTTTCACTTGAAAAACGTAACAAGATCTTCCATTTTGGATTTCTAACTCCAGATCTTTAAATATTTCATTATAATGCTTAGTATTGTCTTTTCAAATCAGTCTTTAAATTTTTTTGTTCAATTCTCTTCATCATTGTTGTTGTTTTGTGCCATCGAACCCCATGTAGCCATTCTGAGCCCTGCTGTATCTTGAGCCAATTTCACTGTCTCTGACATACCCACCCCCATTACCATAGTCACTGAGTCAATCCATATCATCAAGAGTCTTCACCTCTTGTGCTATCCCTCCACCCTTCCAAGCATGATGTCTTTCTCCAAAGACTGGTCCCTTCTGGCAACATACCCAAAGTATGCCAGATCAAGCTTCAAAATCTTGGTTTTACTCTCATTTTCTAGGTTTTGGTACAATTTCGTAGTCTCTTTGTTGTCAATTTTGGTCTTTTTCTTTTCAATCTTTTTTGTGATTACTTTTTTCATGTGTGATGTCCATAGTTCTATCTCACAGCTCATCTGGTTTTTGATCATTAGTGGTCAGTACCTGAAAATGATAGCAGTTTCCAATGCACACACAGACAATGTATCCTAATATCATTCATGAGAGAGTGAGGCATTAGGAAGAGGGTAAAACAGAAATATAGTGAACAATTTATGACCTTAATAAATGGCATAGGAAGTTTTAAGAAGGAGCTGTTATCAGGATCCTTTCCAGGATCCTTCCCGGACCCTTTCTCCTGATCCTTTATAGTGTCCATTGTCTGTTATATTATTTATTAAGGCCTATAGATTTCCTATGACATTATTTTTTTGGTAAAGTAGATTTTCAAACTTCCCAAGAAGCTTCTTGCAGTCACATATGCATGCCTAATTTTATGTCAGAAATTTGATCTTAGACACACTTTGAGTGTGAAAACAAAGTAAGAAATAAAAGTAGGTCTTATTTTAATAAAACAAAACTTAATATTATTAAGGCCAAAGAAAATCTTAGGTTTTTTAACACTTGAAAGACTTCATTTCCAGAATTTATATATACAAAGCTAGTTCTTATTTTTCAAACCTGTTTTTTAAAATTTAAGTGTTACTTACCATTAGTAGTAATTTTTAATTTTATGCCTTTCAAAATTATGGCTCTTGTTTGGATTTTGTTTGTGTTTTTCTTTGTTCTGTATTATTCATATAATTTGTATTTTGTTGTACTTGTTTATATATTGTATGTTGTTTGCAGTTCTCATTGTATCACTAAATTTTTTATATTTCCACTTCTGCATCTTAAAGATTTAGTTAAGTGACTATTGTACTGAAAATTTTTGTTACTATTTATTCCATTTTCAACGTTCACGTATTTGGTTAAATGTAAAAAAAAAATTTAAAAAACACATGAATAAATGAATATATATTTTCTTACCTGAGAACTTAATCCAAGTCATGACAAGGAAGAAATAATCAGAACTACAGAAGATGTTTTTATTCACTCTTCCTTCTATTGTGTAATATCACATAATTTACAAAAATGTGAGCAGCTCCATCTAAACACATTTAGCCTGAATCATCGTGGGAAGCATTTCCAACCCCAGCATTTCTGTTTTCTCATTCACTTAATAAGATTGAGAAAGAAATTCCCTAAGAGACTTAGCAGTTTGTGGTTTTTAAAAAAAAAGTATACTAATCAAAAGATGCCTTTTGCAGTAATTTCTGAGAAGAATGAGATTAGAGATAAGTGGAAGGAGAGTGAGTATCTTAAATCAAACTCTTATGAGAGTACCAGACTGCCAAAGACAAGCATGGTGGTGACCATTTTTTGTTCACCCCAAAGAGTCAGTCTGGTCTTGGCCAATCTGCTTACAGAAAGAAAATGGGAATGACTCAGAGCTGGGCAAATAAGGAGAGCAGGACCAGCTGTTGCTTATATTTGCTTTTGTCACAGCTGTGTTCACAAGCAACTACTCGGTCACAATGGTTCATCTTACTGATGGTGAGAAGGCTCTTATCAATGGCACCTGGGAAAAGGTGAACATAGACATACTTGGTGTTGAGGCCCTGGGCAGGTGAATGTTTAAGGCAAGTTTAAGGATGCTTGAATGGGGTTGGGCATATGGAAAAAGAACAGTCTTCCAGGTTTCTGACAGGTACTGACTCTGTTTCTTTTGCCCATCAGCCCGCTGATTGTATACCTGCTGATTGGACTCAGAGGTTCTTTGAATCCTTTGGAAACCTGTTTTCTCCTATTGCTATCATGGGCAAACGTAAGGTGGCAGTCATGGCAAAAAAGTACTGAACTACTTCAGTGATGGGCTGAAAGATATGGACAAACTCAAGAGCACTTTTGCCTATCTGAGTTAGCCACACTGTGACAAGCTCCAAGTGGATCCTGAGAACTTCAGGGTGAATCTAGGAAATAAATGTCCTTCCCCCCCCACTTTAATGGTCAAATGCATATCACTGGGAGGAAGTTTCAGTTGAGAAATGGGATGTGAGATTCTGACTAAATTCTATAAACTCTTCAGGGTCTTTCTGGGTTTTTAAACAGCCTTCTCATGCAAACCATTCTTTTCCCCACTACATGGCTTTTCTTTCAATACTTTATCATAAATTTATTTACTAACAAAGAAAACTATTTTTCTTTAAAAATACTTTTTTTTTCATTTAGTTCATTGTGGGTCCCCCCCATCTTTTTTCTCTATTTTTATAATTTACACCTTTCTAGTAAGGAAGAGAAGATGGATCTTTCTGACATTTTATGGGTCTTAAAAATATCACTGATAACAAAAGATCTAAGAGAAGATGGGTGGGAGAAATTTATGTGCATAAATTTAGGTTGATATGGGAATTTTAACATCAGTATTAGAGCTAAGATTCAGTCATTGTACTGCTCAAATTTTGTATATGCAATCCAAGCATGTTCGTAGATTGTGAGGAAGCTGAAGTATCTTACCTACTCTGGAACACTCTCTTAACCAGTTAATGTTTCTTTTCTCCTCCTTGGCTCCTGGGCAAAGTGCTAGT